AGACAAAGTCGTATTATCAGTAGTAGTGTGTGTAGTCAAAGTTCACGTGGTAGTATTAGTAGTAGTAGTAGTAGTAGTCGTCGTCGTCGTCGTCGTCGTCGTCGTCGTCGTCGTCGTCGTCGTCGTTTCTTTCGTCGTAGTAGTAGTCGGAACAGCATAAACAACATCAGTCGTAGTTACAGTAGTAGTGGTGGTAGTCGTAGCAGGAGTCGTCGTAGTAATCTCTTATGTGCCAGCATTAGCGCCAGTCGTAGTAGTAGTAGGAGTAGAAATAGTAGTAGCAGTAGCAGTACCAGTAGCCGTAGTAGTCGTAGTAATGGTAGTAGTAGCAGTAGTAGTAGACGTAGTAGTAGTAGACGTAGTAGTCGTAGTAGTAGTAGTAGCAGTAGTAGTAGTAGTAGTAGTAGTAGTAGTAGTAGTAGTAGTGGTAGTGGTAGTGGTAGTGGTAGTGGTAGTGGTAGTGGTAGTGGTAGTGGTAGTGGTAGTGGTAGTAGTGTAAGTAGTGGTAGTAGTGTAGTCGTGGTAGTCGTAGTGTAGTAGTAGTAGTAGTAGTATTAGTAGTAGTAGTAGTAGTAGTAGTGGTAGTGGTGGTAGTGGTAGTGGTATGGTAATGGTAGTAGTGTGTAGTAGTAGTAGTAAGTAGTAGTAGTATAGTAGCAGTAGTAGTAGTTGTAGTAGTAGTAGTAGTATAGTAGTAGTAGTAGTAGTAGTAGTAGTAGTAGTAGTAGTAATAGTAGTAGTAGTAGTAGTAGTAGTAGTAGTAGTAGTAGTAGTTAGTAGTAGTAGTAGTAGTATAGTAGTAGTAGTAGTAGTAGTAGTAGTAGTAGTAGTAGTAGTAGTAGTAGTAGTAGTAGTAGTAGTAGTAGTAGTAGTAGTCGTAGTCGTAGTAGTAGTAGTAGTAGTAGTAGTAGTAGTAGTAGTAGTAGTAGTAGTAGTAGTAGTAGTAGTAGTAGTAGTAGTATTAGTCGTAGTAGTAGTCTTAGAGGAGGAGGAGGAAACGAGGAACAGAGGAGGAGGAACAGCGGAGGAGGAGGAGGAGGAGGAGGAGGAGTTGGAGTTGGAGGCGGAGGGGAAGGAAAAGGAGCATCTTAGCAAACCCAGGGGCTTCTTTGAGCATCTTGGGTGCCTCGGAGATCCTCTTGATGCCCTTTGGTGGCCTCTTCGGAGCTTGTTGGGGCCCTGTTGGGTGTCTCTTAGGGCTGCCTGGGTGTCTCTTCGGGCCCTTTTGGGGCGCTCTTGGGAGTTTGACTGCACTCTTGGGCCTATCCTGGAAGGCTTGATCAACCAAGAGGGGGGCTTCAATTCGCCCCCCCCCCCCGGGAGCCCCAACACTCGCTTCCTGGACCCCTCTTGAGAGGCTCTTCTGGCGCTCGTTGGCGCTCATGGGGCCGTCTTGGGGCTCTCTTGGATCTCTTCTGGGGCCCTCATGGGCCATCTTGGAGCCATCATGAAGCCTCGGATGGCCATCGGACGCGAAAAGGCAAGACAGCAAACCACATTGGTTTTCTTGCGGGTTTGAAAGGGTTATGGCCTCTTCGGGGCCTTGGGGAGCTCTTTGGCCACCTGGAGCCGTCTTGGAACGGGCCTGGGGCCTCTTGGAGCATCTTGGTCTATCTTGAACCATCTTGGAGCTCATCTTTCCGAAGCACTCTTGGAGCCATCTTGGGCCATCTTGGACGTCCCACCCCCCTGGGAGACCCCCCGTCCAGGTCCAAAGGGGGGGGGTCAAGACCCCCTCCCCGCCCGCAAGCCGTCTCGCTCACTCCCATCCGCCCTCCCAACACATACGTAGCACCCGAGTCTGGCCCGAGCCTGAGCATATTCAGCAGTCGTCTTTGGATGGGCAGCCTCTGGGGGCCAATCCGCCGCCGCCGCCGCCGCCGCCGCTGCCCGCCGCCGCCGCCTGCCGCCGCCGCCGCCGCCGCCGCCTGCCGCCGCCGCCGCCGCCGCCGCCGCCGCCACCGCAGCCGCTGCCGCCACCGCCACCGCCACCGCCGCCGCCGCCGCCGCAGCCGCCGCAGCCGCCGCCGCCGCAGCCGCCGCAGCCGCCGCAGCCGCCGCCGCCGCCAAGTGTACGATGTATTGTTTTTTTGACAGGGATGGTGGGGGGGGCGCATCGGGTTGGCTGCACATGTTCCGAATTTGGAGGCGGAATGTGGTTTGCATTGTTTTTTAAAGGAATGGTTGGGTGGTGTCGTCATGGACCCTGGTTGGCCCCCAGTCGCCTGGGGGAGGGGGTGTTTATTAATAGGGAACAGTGATTCAGCTACCCACCCGCCCGCAAGCTGTCTAGCTCACCCCCACCCGCCGTACGGACACATAAGTAACACCCGAGCCTGAACATGTCCAGCGGTCGACTTTGGATGGGCAACTACTGGGAACCAACGCCGACCCCAGGTGCGCGACGCTTGGGGTGCGCCACGCGTGCCAGGGGCGCCACGCGCGCCAGGTACCCCTGGGGTCCGAGCGTGCCAGGCACGCCTGGTGCGCCAGAGGCGCCACATGTTCCGAGTGCGCCAGGTGTGCCGCACTTTCAAGCCGCGCCAGGTGCGCCACGTTCGGGGCACGTGCAGAGTGCGGCAGGTACGTCTGCGCATGTGACACCACACATCGGAAACCATGTCGGCCCCCGCCATCCTTGTCGAAAGCCAATGCCCATCATTGTGTCTGGTGGGCTTGCGCACCGGTCAAAAACCATTTGACAGTGATCGCGGGATGGCCGCGCACGATCCAGATGTAGCCGCGAGGTGCATGTTGTATGGTCGTTTGTCACGGATGGTAGCCTTGCGCGCAGCAGGGAATATGCTGACACCCCCGCCGTCCGTCAAACACCATACAAAGTGCCCACGGGCCCCACGAACATGAATCAAGACTTTGCCCCGAAGTGTGCTTTGTATTGTTTTTTGACAGGGGTGGTGGGGGGGGCCGCATCGTATTGGCCGCGCATGCTCAAAATGTGGAGGCAGAGTGCGGCATGTATTGTTTTTTTGAGAGGGAGTGTGCTTGGCGGGTCGTCATGGTGTCCTCATGGTTTCTGGTTGGACGCCGGTCGCCTGAGGGAGGGGGTGTACACTAATATGGAATAGGGATGAGCCCCTCCCCGAAGGGGAAGAGGGGCAGATGTAAGACAAAACACCCTAGACTACCCACGCCCTAGAATGGCTGGTGGGATTTGTAGCGGTAGGACCCTGACGAGGTCGAGAAGAGGATTGAGCAGGTGAATGATGCAGGGAGGAGGGGGAAGAGGAGGGAGAGAGGGAGGGAGGAGGCAGGAGGAAGAGGGGAGGACGGAAGCGGCAGGGAGGGAGGAGGAGAGGATGGAGGAGGGGCGAAGGCGATGGGAACTTCGGCGGGAGGGAACGTTGGAGGAGGAAGTGGGGACGGTAGGAGAGCGGAGAGGCGAAGAGGAGGGAGGACCAGCATCCTGGCGGCTCCAGCGGCGCGGAAGTTCGGATATTGGGTTTTGTCGATCCAGCGGGACCGCCGTCGCCCTCAGGGCGTGTCCGTGGGGGACGCGACGAGCCCCCGGCCGTGGCCGCGACAGCATGGCCACACAGCCTTAGGTGATCCAGAGACGGACGCTGTGGCCTCCAGCTGGTGTATCCATCCATCGTGTTAGCTCATTACGCGATCGATTTGCGTCAGTCCCTGATCGACTGCGTGACAGGACAACGCGCAGATGCCTCGGATCCGTGGATCTTGCTGCCGTGTTGATAGCCAGGTTTAGGTTTACCCGAGCAAAAAGGGGGGCCGCACATCGGCGGGGGAAGGCGGGCCGAGCAGACATCCGAGAGAAGGGGGGGGGCCGGGCAGGCCTCCTGGGCAGAACCGCCCACGGAGGAAGAGCAGCACACGGTCGGACCGAGGTCTGAGATCGAGGTCCGTTCGGGGGGGGTGCCCTCGCAGTCATTCCCAACACTCCTTCGTCCATCTCTACAGCCTTCCACTCTTTTCCCTTGCAGAGTCCTGGCAGGGCATGGATCCTGCGGGGGGTCTGTCTCTGCGACTGCGTACAGTTTCTTCGAGCAAAAGCGTGCGGGAGGGTACCCTAGTGTTCTCTGTGTCTGTTGGATGTTCTCGTGCCTCTTGGGGAGGGTAGACCCTTGAATGTTCTGTCCGTTTTCAAGTGTGTATTTGGTCTGAGCGGTTCTCACGTTCTGGAGTTTTTTGGGGTTTTCAGGCCTAGGTCCGACTGCAGGACGGAGGAGACTCTGGAAAGTCTGCCATCGGACCACCGTTCGCACCGATAAAATCGGCAATGGGGCGGGGTTCCCATCAAATCCGTTTCTGGGATTGCGGTGGAGAGCGTCATTTCAATCAAGAGCATGATGGAGGGTACTGGCGGACTACACTCCTTTTGAGCGTGGCTGGTCCCATCTTGGAAAACGGTACGATCAAGCAATTGTGAGTGTAGGAAATTTCAACATCCGCTTCAGAGCAGGAGAGAAGAGGCGGATGGGGAGAAGCTGAAGTGGAGGAAACGCAGAGGGGGAGGACCGCCAGGAGGATGAGGGATCAGACGCTGGTGGTTTGACTCCGGTCCGAGCTCGGGGCGCAGGGGTCAGTCGATCCCATTCGATCCTTTTTGGCTCACCCAGGTTTGGGAGTTGCTATGCGGTCGGCTGGGTTCGGCGCGTGGCCTTGGTTGGCCCAGATGAGCCTACAAGCCCATCCCGACCAGTCGTTTCCCCTGCCTCCTCCGTCTCTTCCTTGTCCTCATCCGCCTCCAGGCGACGCTTCCTCCTCGTGCAACGTCGCACATGCTGCCGGAGTTCTCTCTTCCTTTCCTTCTTTCTCGCAGCCCTGTCAGATGCGGAACGAGGGGAGGAGGGAATATGCAGGGCGGGAGGAAGGCAGAAGGCACAGAGGGGAGGAGGAGGAGGAGGAGGAGGAGGAGGAGGAGGAGGAGGAGGAGGAGGAGGAGGAGGAGGAGGAGGGAGGAGGTGGTAGTCCAGGGGGAGGGTCGGAGGAGGAGGAGGAGGAGGAGGCGGAGGAGGAGGAGGAGGAGGAGGCGGAGGAGGAGGAGGAGGAGGAGGACGAAGAGGTTGGAGGAGGGCGAGGCCGACCAGGCAGCTGGAAGGGCGGGCGGCCGACCGATCGGCACGCCGGCGCCGGCCAGCCCTGCAGCCGGCCCAGCCGGGCCGACGCCGCTCGCTCTCCCCCGCGCGGGCTCCGCCGCTCCCTCCCGACGCCGCGGCGCCGCCGCGCCCTTCGCGGGCAGGAGGTGGTGACCGCCGGGCAGTGGTTCTGCGAGGCGGCGCTCGTCGCCGCCGCCGCCGCCGCCGTCGCAGCCGCGGTCGCCGCCGCCGGAGCCGCCGCCGCTGCGGCTGCCGCCGCCGTGGCCGTCACGATTGCCGCCGTCGCCGTGGGTCGTCGCCGCCGCCGCCGTGGCCGCGAGGGGCAGGGGGGAGGAGGAGAGGGTCGGCGGGGGGAGGGCGGTGGCGGAGCATGCGGGGGGTGAGGGGTGCAGAGGGGCGCCTCGATCTGTTCCCGCGCAGGGCCACTGGAGACGCTTCGGTCGTCCTCCCACTCCTTATCGTCCCCCTTCTCCCCCCCCGTCTCCTCGCTCGCCCTCCCTTCCTCTCTACCTCCCCTCTCCCTGGCTCCTCCGCCTCTCCCTCTTCTCGGGCCGGACGAGCTGGAGGAGAGCAGAACTGAGGGGCGACGAAGTCACCTGCACGCCGTTCGGGGTTCCAGCCGCGCCGCGGGACGCTTCCCTGTATATGTTGGCGCATCCAGCGCGGGGGGGCCCTGGAGAAATCAGCTGCGTGAGCTGATTCGCCAACGCTCCCTGTCTCGTGCGACCCTCTCCTCCCCCTTTCTCCTCGCCTCACCCTCCTTCATCCTTCCTCCCTCCCCCCTCCCCCCCTCCCTCCTTCCTTCGCTCGCCCTCTCCTCCTCCGCCTCCGCCTCCTCTCCCCTTTGATCCTCTTCTCCCTCGCCCTCTCCTCCTCCGCCCACCCCCCGCCTCTTTTCCCCTTTCTCCATCCCTCCCTCCCTCCCCATTCTCCCTCCCCCCCTCCCCGTTCTTCCCTCCTCACCACCCACCAAACACCCTAACCCAACCCGAAGGCCTCAATCTGCCCTCCATTTCCAGTGTGGGGGGTGTCCGGGAACATCGAAAAAACACACATGGAGCCCATACCCCCCCCAACCCGAAATTCGGGTCTTCGGGTTGGGTTGGGGTGGTCTGGTAGGTAGTCACCTCCCCCCTCCCCTTCTCCGCTCGCCCCCCTCCAGGCCACGCTGTGGACGAACTGGGTGCACCAGGGCTCCATGAGCGCCCGGAGGGCCTGCAACCTGCTCTCCCTGGACAGCGAGGCCTTCCAGAGGCCTGCTGTGCCGCCCGGCGACGTCGCGACGCGCGAAGTGGGCGGAGGGAGTCGCCGACGACGTCGTCTGCTCGTTTTCCTCGCTTCTCGTCCTCCTCCAACCAGGAGAGGAAAAACACACAGACACAATTAATCCTCGATTCCCCAGGAAATATAGGAAAATATGGGAAGTGGGGGGGAAGACAGAAACCCAGAAAATATTAGAAAATATGGGGAATATGTTTATTAGTGTGTATTTATTTGTGTGTCCTGGGGCCCCTTCATCCAACCCCGAGTGCCAAGGTGACAAAAACTGGCTGGGTGCGGTGGGGCCGCGTCGGCACCGGCCGACGATGCTTTTTTGCAGGGTTCCGGTCCAGCCCGCATCCGATGCTCCCCTCCCCGTTCTCGTCCTCGTCCTCGTCCTCCTCGTCCTCCTCGTCCTCCTCGTCCTCCTCCTCGTCCTCCTCCTCGTCCTCCTCCTCGTCCTCCTCCTCGTCCTCCTCCTCCTCCTCGTCCTCCTCCTCGTCCTCCTCTCCTCTCCTCTTCTCCTCCTCCTCCTCCTCCTCCTCCTCCTCCTCCTCCTCCTCCTCCTCCTCCTCCTCCTCCTCCTCCTCCCCCTCCTCCTCCCCCTCCTTCTTCCCCTCCCCCCATTCCTCCCCCTCCTCGGGGCTGGGTGCGGCGGGGCCGCGTCGGCATCGGCCGCGCGCCCCTGCTTCTGGCCGGCGAAGCGCCCGCGGCTCGGAGTCCCCCCGAGGCGAAGGCCGAAATCAAGTTATCGTCCCGCTTACCCTCCTCCTCCTCCCTCCTCCTCCTCCTCCCCTCCTCCTCCCTCCTCCTCCTCCTCCTCCCCCTCCTCCTCCCCCTCCTCCTCGCCCTCCTCCTCCTCCCCTCCACCTCCTCCTCCTCCTCCTCCTCCCTCCTCCCTCCTCCCCCTCCCTCCTCCTCCCCCCTCCCCTCCTCCTCCCTCCTCTCCTCCTCCCTCCTCTCCTCCCTCCTCCCTCCCTCCCTCCCTCCTCCCTCCTCCTCCCTCCTCCTCCCTCCTCCCTCCTCCCTCCCTCCTCTCCTCCCTCCTCCTCCTCCCCCTCCTCCCCTCCTCCCTCCTCCTCCTCCCTCCCCTCCCCCCTCCCCCTCCTCCCTCCTCCTCCTCCTCCTCCTCCTCCTCCTCCTCCTCCTCCTCCTCCTCCTCCTCCTCGTTGTCCTCCCAACATTGGCGAGGCGTGCCCCGGAGCCCTCGACCCGATCCCCAGGGCTGCTTGTTCGTCGCAGGTGGTCCTGGGAGGGTCCCGCAGGCAGAGGAGCAAGAGGCCATAACGATGCGTTCCAGTGCAGTGGAGACCCATGCCAAGAAACACGCTGCTCGCCTCCAGGGTGCCCTGTGTTTCCTGGGCTCTGATGGTGTTGCGATGGAAAGCGTGACGTTCCCACACCAAAAATCAATGTACGTCCTGGGGTCTCAGGGTTGGGTTTCTCGCGGAAAGTTTCTTGTGGTCGGTCCCCTATTGTATTTCCAGGATCATATTCATTGTCCTCCGGGTTGCAGAAACGAGAGCCGCCAAATACCATGGAGTTTCTGAAACGCATCCCGAGCCCGTCGCATCCTAGCATCGTTCCCGTCTTGCGGAGTCCGAAAACGGGCCCTCGCTCCGAAGTGGCGTGGATGCGCCCGCCGCGTTTTTGTTTTCTTCGCCGCAGGTCTGGGGATCCTTTCCGCAAGGCTTACGGCGGTACTGTCTCCTCCTGCTCCTCGTCGTCGTCGTCGTCGTCCTCCTCCTCCTCCTTCTCCTCCTCCTCCTCCTCTTCCCTCCTCCCTCCTCCCTCCTCCCTCCTCCCTCCCTCCTCCTCCCTCCTCTCCTCCTCCTCTCCTCTCCTCCTCCTCCAGTTCCTCCTCCTCCTCCTCCTCCTCCTCCTCCTCCTCCTCCTCCTCCTCCTCCCCTTCTCCTTTTCCTCTTCCTGGACTCTCGGACCGTGTATCCAGGCCTCCTCGATGGGGTCCGAGTAAATGGGGTCGGAGACTCTCGCCACATCGGCGATGAATCGGCGATGCATCGGCGATGCGGCTCGATGTAGAGCCAGATTTTCCTCACGCCGACGTCGCCGATGCATCGTCGATGCATCGTCGATGTATCGGCGATGCACCGGCGATGCGGCGCGATCTTTCGACCTCGGACCCCAGCTAGGCGGCCTCCAATAGTGATAGCCGTGGCCCATTGAAGAAGAAGCGTCAGCCCCGCCGTCTCGAAGCACTGCAAGGGCCCCGAGACCTCCGAAGATCCGCGGGATGATCGGTCGAAGGAACCTGGTGAGCTCGCCCCCTTCCCCGGCCTCCCGTCCCCCTCCTGGTCTCTCCATCCCCCGTCCTGGAGCTCTGCGTATGCGGTGGAAGCCCATGCCAAGAAGCACCCTGCTTGCCTCCAGGGTGCCCTGGGTTTCTTGGGCGTCGATCGTGTTGCCATGGAAAGCGTGACGCTGTCGCACCAAGAATCAATGGACTTTAGGCCTCCTAGACGGGGTCCGAGTAGATGGGGTTGAAGGATCGCGCCGCATCGGCGATGCATCGCCGATGTGGCTCGATGTGGAGCCACATTTGCTTCACGTCGACGTCGCCGTTGCATCTCCGACGTCGACGATGCACCGCTGGTGCATCGCCGATGCATCGCCGATGCATCGCCGATGCATCGCCGATGCATCACCGATGTATCGGCGATGCGGCGCGATCCTCCGACCCCATGCACTCCGACCCCATCTAGAAGGCCTCTATGGACGTCCTGGGGTCTCAGGGTTGGGCTTCTTGTGGAAGGCTCCTCGTGGTCGAGCTCCTTCCTACTGTACGTACCCCTCCCCCTTCCGTGCATTTCGCCGCTTCCCGCTGCAGCCTCTCCGCACTCCCCTCCCATCATCTGCCACAAAAGTTGCCTACATTCGCAGGCGATATTTCTCCCCCAACGATAACAACGATAGCAGTGATAACAATGATAACAACGATCAAAGCGATCACAACGGTAACAACGATCACAACGATAGCAACGATAACGATCACAACGATCAACGATACCAGATGTCATAATGATCACAACGATTACAACGAACAACGATAACGATCACAACGATCAACGATAACAAGCCCCGACTTTTCTACGAAGCATGAAGCCGCTCAAAACAGGAGGGGAACCCTGGGGCATACACCCCAAGGGGACGCTATTGAGACACGCACCCCATATCGAGGGCGGACGCCTCCCCCATTGTATATTTAATTATACGCATATATCAGAGTGAGGGGGCCGAACGGTCATTCATTGTCCATGGATGCGTGGCTGAAGTGCGGATCCCTGGTGAGGATTATGCTTGTTGTTGTTGTTGTTGTTGTTGTTGTTGTTGTTGTTGTTTTTGTAGTTGTTGTTGTTTGTTTGTTTGTTTGTTTGTTTGTTTGTTTGTTTGTTCGTTTGTTTGTTTGTTTGTTTGTTTGTTTGTTTGTTTGGTTGGTTGTTGTTGTTGTTGTTGTTGTTGTTGTTGTTGTTGTTGTTGTTGTTTGTTGTTGTTTGTTGTTGTTGTTGTTGTTGTCGTCGTCCCCCCCGCGACCTGGCCCGCGACCCACCCGCGACCCATCTCGCGACCCGCGACCCAACCGCGACCCTCCCGCGACCCACCCCGCGACCCGCTCGCGACCCACCCGCGACCCACCCGCGACCCACCCGCGACCCACCCGCGACCCGGCCCGTGACCCACCCGCAACACACCGTCGACTCACCCGCGACCCATTTGCGACCCAACCCGCGACCCACCCACATTGTTTTAACAAAAACAAGCGGCCCTTGCGGCGGGCTCGTTGTATAGCTTGAATTTTATTGCGCCTGAGGCGGGCTTCTTCAAAGCCTCGCATACTGCCGACGTTTCCGCCGCCCCCTCACTCTTATCCGCAACTGCGGGGTGCTACATATATACACACACACATATATATATATATATATATATATATATATGCCAGGCTTAGGCTCCAAGTGTGTGGTGCACTCGAAAGAAACCCGCGAAGCCTGGGAGAGGGGTCGACATATCCCCTGGTAATCTAGGCCTCCCAGATGGTGTCCGAGTAGATGGGGCCGGAGGATCGCGCCGCATCGCCGATGCATCGCCGATGCATCGCCGATGTAGCGCCGATGCATCGCCGATGCGGCCCGATGTGGAGCCCGATTTGCTTCACGTCGACGTCGCCGATGCATCGCCAGCGTCGCCAGTGCATCGCCGATGCATCGCCAATGCGGCGCGATCCTCCGACCCTATCTACTCGGACCCCATCTGGTAGGCATAGATATACGGTCCAGGATTTCTGTGGACAGAGGAGGAGGAGGGAGGAGGAGGAGGAGGAGGAGGATGGAGGAGGAGGAGGAGGAGGAGAAGGAGGATGAGGAGGAGGAGGAGGAGGAGGAGGAGGAGGAGGAGACCGTCGGCCCTGTCGGGCAGGCTCCGAGCAGGGCCAGTACAGTAGAAGCCCACGCCCAGAAGCACGCCGCAAACCTCCAGGGTGCCCTGGGTTTCCTGGGTTTCGATGGCTCTGGCTGTGGAAAGCGTGACTTTCCCACACCGAAAACCAGTGGACGTCCCGGGATCTCAGGGTTAGGTTTCTTGTAGAAGGTTTCTTCTTGTGGTCGAGCTCCTACTGTACTGTGAAAACTCCGTTCCAGAGCGTTTCGGAACGCCCTCAGAGCGTTCTGGAACGCTCTGAGGAGGAGGTCGCTGCGCCCGATGCATCCTCCGGAGCCGCCGGATCTCTCAGAGGTTCTCGATTTGTCTTCATCCGATGTGTTCATCCGTCTTGGCCTCGTCTTGAGGTTCCAGTTGGAACCACTCGAGTCGTACGTCTTCCCGTCTTTATCAGGAGGGGGAAAATAAAGACAGACAGACAGACACACACATAATCGCCGATTCCCAGGAACATGATGGGAAATTGGGAAGCGGAGGGGCAGACGAACATCAAGTACATATGCAAGACAAATATGGGAAGTTCTGGGATTTCTCAAACAGTGTGGGACCGACCCCCAGCCCTCACGGTCCCGAATGTTATATATCAACGTTCTGTAATTGTGGCGCCCTGGCCAGCGACAGCTGCAGGTCCGATGTCCGATGTCCGACGTCCGATGTACGTAAGTGTAGGCCCCCTTTAATGGAGGCCACTGCCGTCTGCTTGGCCTAGAGGTCCTCCTGTGGTGGGCGGTGGGCGCTTCTCATGCAGTCATGTGGTGCACTTCGCTGTGTGTCTCGGGCCCCTCCAAGACGTGGTGGGGCTGGCCCGCCAGAGGAGAGAAGCTCCCGTGCCTGCACGCCCCGGGGGGGCCAACGACCGGGGAGGGGGGGAAGGCGTCGGGGGCGGCCAAGTGGGGGGTGATGGCTAGGGTCAAGTCGGGCCTGTCCCTCTACAGGAGAAATATTCAACGATAGCCTGGGGACGATTGTTTGACTATTGTTGAGCATCTTTGGAGCGGTTTCTGCGTATTGTTATCCTTCGTCCAAGATCCGCCTGTAGGGGGACATGCCCGACCTAAGACTAGGGGGGGGGGGAATGCCATGGCGTGGGCCATGCTATGTCCCCAGATAGCATGGCGCCTCTTCTTACAGTGCCGTTTTTAATACATGCTCCGCGTGCGGATCATGTATTAAACATGCAGGGATGTAGCATTAAAAATAACGATGAGTTCATGCATACATTTATTCATACATGGACCATGTATTAAAATCCTATATGTTTCAAAATCCCATGCATTAAAAACTGCCCTGTACTTCAATGCGTCCCCGATCCCTCCCCCTTGGGCCGCGCACGTGCCGCCGGCCGCGATTTGCGCCCCCCCCCCCCCCCCCCCTCTTGGACGCCCCCCTCCTGGCCGCCCCCCGAGGACGGGCACAGAGGGGAGCGCGTCGACATCCACTCGTGACGTCTGGCGTGCCCCTCTACAGACAGGAGGAATAGTCAAGGATAGTACAGACATAGCCTGGTGACGATTTTTGTTCTTTGTTTCTTTTTGTTTGTTTGAGGGTTTTTCATTTGTTTGTGAGGAATTTGACGATATGTTCAACAAGTGTGTGAGAGTTTGTTGTTTTTCCTCCTGAGTCCGCCTGCAGGAGGACGTGCCCAACCTGACCCAGTCACTCATTGATCGATGCTGTGGGGTCTGATGGCCCCACCCCGCCCAGGGACGCGCCGATCCTCGATCGGGGGGCCATCGCCGCTATACGGGCGACGTATCGCCGATGCGAGGTGAGTTCCCCTCCCCCTTCCTCGAGCCATTCCCTCCCTGTCGCTGCCCCCCGATCCGCGCCGCGCGGTGAAACGAGAGCCCCTGCCCGAAGGCTGCTGACGCCCGTCCAGGCGACCGACCACTCCGTGCGCAACTACGCCGCCGCCTTCGTGGCGCAGCTGAACGACCCGTGCCGGAGGCTGACCGACCTCACAGACCAGGCCCGCCCCCCACCTGCTCCAGAGGGCAACGGCAGCGGGGGGGCTTGCCCAGGTTCTAAGCAGAAGCAATTGCACACGGTAGCTTGGCGTCGTGTCGACCAGCGGCGACCCCAGCGCGGGCGGGCGTTCAAGGTTGGATGCCACTTGCGACCCAACATCGGTCGATGCTGAACGATCGGACGTTTGGTAAACTACGGATAGTTCAAGGTTGAACGCTTCCCGCGGTGTCAGGGACCAACGCCGGGGTCCGCACGACACGAACCTGCCATAAAGAGACACTTCCGAAGCTCCACGCGGATTTCTTGGATCTGCGCTGGGCCCCCCCTGAGCGGCGCCTCCGGCGCCGCCGTTCTGCGCGTTCCGCGCGCCAGTCGAGTGGGGTCCAGCGTGGTTCGTGCTTTCCTATGCCCCGCCGTGCCGTTTTCGCGCGCCACATCCGCAAGCTTGACATGCAGGGAAGCGGTGTTCCGTGACCTCCCACACTCTTCGCTCTGCGTGAGTTCGGCGTCACGGACACGCAGAGCCCCGACCGCACCGTTCGCCGAGCACGCCGTCGGCGCGGCCTCGGGTGCTCCTCTCGCCCCACGTGCAGCGGCCGAGCCCGTGCTGTGGCGCCGGTCGAGCGGGGACGCCCAGGCCCGCCCCTGCTCGCTGCTCCGGGGGCAGCGGCGGGGGCGGGGCCTGGGCGGCCTGGCCTGGGCGAGAACGTGCGGCGCTCTGCTGCCGAGGGCCCGCCGCCGATACATCGGCGGTGGCCATCGAAAAAACAACGCCACGAACAGAAAGACAGCGAAGACATGGCCATAGTCAGGAAGGGAGACACGACGCCATGACCAGCGATGGCCATCGAAGAAGAACGGCAACAGACGCCATAGACATACACTTCTGGCGCTCCGCGCGGATTTCTTGGATCGGCGCCTGGGCCCCCCAGGCGGCGCCTCCGGCGCCGCCCTTGGCGCGCCCTGCGCGCCAAGGAGGGGGTTCCAGCGCAGATCCAAACAAATACGCGCGGAGCGCCACAAGTTTATGTTAATGGCGCTGTTTTCTTTTTCCAAGAACGAGCGGCGTTCTGCTGCCGAGGACCTGCCGCCGATCCAGCGGCGATGACCAGTCCCGCGCCCGCCCGCTCCGGGGGCGACGACAGGGTGGGGGGGGACTATGGCCTATGGCGGCAGCATCCCCAAGCCATCGGCGAGGTGCCGCGTCCATGCTGGACCACTGCTGCCCCCCCCCCCCCATGGGCCAGAGTTTCCCCCCTTGTCGATCCCCCTCACCGCTCCTCTCCGAGCACTGCACGTCCTCCCCCCCCCGCGTCGCCCCCCCTCGCCGCACCTGCTTCCTCGGAGGAGAGGCCTGCGCGGCCAGGCTGCTGCAGGTCCGCGCGGAGTGCTTGGGTCGGCGGGGCGAGGTGTCGTCGATGCCGGGCCACTGTTCGGAGCGTGAATTACCTACCCCGCTTTCGCTTCCAGGCAAAACCAAGTCATACCACGCGCCTCCTCGTCAAGCAGCCTAACCAGTACAGGCCGTAGTTTGGCATCGCTTGGTATCTCTTGGAAGCGAGGGTGGTCTAAAGCGAGGTAGGTTTGTTTTCCCCCTAACTGTGTGCCCCCCCTTCCCGATGCGGTTGCCCCCTCGTCGTGCGTTCCCCCCTCGCCGCCTCTCTCCTCGAGGGCGACAGCTGCACAGCCAGGCTGCTGCAGGGCCGCGCGCAGAGTTCTTTGGGTCGGCGTTTGGCTGCCTCCTGGGGCCGCTCCTCCGGCGCCCCCCCTCCCCAGGCGAGGGGGGGCAGCCCAAGAGGCCCCCGAGAGGGCCCGAAGAAGGCCCAAAGACGGCCCAAGAGGCCCCCAAGACGCCCAAGATAGCCTCCAAGACGGCCAATATGGTCCCCAAGATGCCTCTAAGACGGCCCAAGATGGCTCCAAGATGGCCTAAGACTGGCCAAGAGAGCGGAGGGCAGCGTCGTCCGAAGAGATCCGCGCGGATCTCCAGAAGTTTGTGGATGTACTGTTTCTGCTGCCTGTGTTCTCGACCTCCCGTCCTCACGTCGGCCCCAGGAGTCGTGCAGTCAGCAGACTGCTCAAGCCTGAGAGCTGCTCCTGGCAGGCGCAGAAATGCAGCGACATCATGTGGTGGAAGTGGCTTCGATTGATCAGGAGATCTGCGCCTGGCCCATCGTGCTCCACAGAGTCAAAGCCTCGACCTCCCTTCCTCACCTCCGACCCCTGAGCCGTGGAGAAGACGCAGCGGAACTTCTGCACCCCGCAGCAAGGACCAGGGGCCCCGACGGACCTGTCTGCCTCGAGAGGTGCCGCGGGGGGGGTGGGGCCGAGAGTTCCAGGTGGGACTGCTCCCGGCGTGCTGGTTTCTCCACGCTGCTTGCCGCCCCCCCCCCCTCGCCCGCTCCCTGCCTCCCTCCCCGTTTGTTTTCCTCGTTCTTCTCGTTCCTTTCATCTTGATCCGTCCCCCCTCGCCTTTCCTCCCTGGCCCCCCTCAACGTCTCTCTTCCCTCCTTCCCTCCCCTCCCCCCCCTCTCCCCATCGTGGCCCTCCTCCGCGTCCCGTGCTCTCCGTGTTCTCTTCGACACCGTCTCCCTCTCCTCATCCCCTCCTCGTCTTTCTGCATGCTCTCCTGATTCCCCTCATTCCCTCCCTCCCCTATCCCCCTCCTCCCCTGCCTCCTCCCCCCCTCCCCTCCTTACTTCTTCCCCTTCCCCCCTTCCTCCTCTTCCACTCTACCCTGCTTGAAGTGCGGTGGTGTCTTGGATCGGGATCGGCTCGTGTCGAACCACTCCCGCTCGGGGGCTGTTTTTGGCTCCCTCTCCACTCCCCCCCTTCCACTTCTCCCGTCCCAGAAAAGGCCCCCCCCCCTCTTCGGAGGAGGGGAAGCCCCTTCTGTGACCACAGCGCGGGAGGTCGTGCGGGGAGGGGGGGACGGGGAGAGGGGAAAGGGACAAAGGGGAGGGGACAGGGGAGTCCCCTGTCCTCCCATCTCTGCCCTCCATCCTTTCCATTCCCTCTGCTTGCTGCCCTCCCCTTGCTCACCGAGCGCACTCCACTCCTCGCGAAGCTCCCAGCCACAAGCGTCAGACATTCACATGGTTACCCCGATGTCACGGACTGTGAATCCCTTCGCTGGACCTACAGTCCGGGCCCTGCAGAAGGAACCCTTTTCGTTGGGGAGGGGCTCCGCGTTCCTTAAGTGTTTCACAGCTTGCCTCAGGCTTTCCTTATGTTTCCGACCGGAAATCGAAGGTTAACTTATGGAAAAAAGGGGCCCCGCTCCTTATTTTGGGTTCTTTAGGTCAACGCCCCGACTGTAGGCCACATACGATTTGCGAGTCGTGGCATGCGTTTGCCACGCTGTCGTCGCCGGAGCCCAGCGGCGCCGCCCTCTCGGCACCACCCTCCCAGCCCCCTCCTGGGAGGACATGGACCTGGCGCAGATGGCAGGCCAGCGGCGCGCGGGGCGCGTCCTCCTCCCCCCTCCCCCTCCTCCCTCCCCCCCCTCTCCTCCTCCTCCTCCTCCTCCTCCTCCTCCTCCTCCTCCTCCTCCTCCTCCTCCTCCTCCACCCCTCCTCCTCCTTCTGTCGCTGCTCGCCTCCGCCTCCCTGCTCCTCCTTCTCCTCCTCCTCCTCCTCCTGCTTCGCCGCACCTGCGTCTCCTCCTGCTCCTCCTTCTCCTCCTCCTGCTCGTCGTCCTCCTCCTCTTTCCCCCTCCTCCTCCTCCTCCTCCTCCTCCTCCTCTTCCTGCTGCTTCTCCTCCTCCTCCTCCTCCTCCTCCTCCTCCTCTTCCTCCCGGGTTCTCCTCCTCCTCCTCCTCCGCCCCTTCCTGCTAGCCCAGTAGGGTCTGTAATGGTAACTGCTCTCCTCGTCGTCCCCTCATCATCCTCACGATCATCATCATCACCATCACCATCACAATCATTGGGCCTTAGCTGGAGCTCCCAGTGGGGCCACGGAGCGTGTCAGGGGTGATCCGACATGGGGCACCGCCGCCTCGCGAACCTTGGCATTTGGGCCTTAGATAGAGCTCCGTATGGGGCCAAGAAGAGTGCGAATGGTGAGCCGAGATAGGGTATGCACGCCTTGGAATCCTTGGCAATTCGGCCTTAGCTGGAGCTCCCTGTGTGGCCACACAGTGTGTGAGGGGTGTGCTGACATGAAGCTCCGACGCCATGCGAGCCCTGGCAATTGTGGTTTAGCTGAAGTTCCCTACGGGGCCACATAATGTATAAAGGGTGTGCCGAAATGAAGCACCGACGCCATGCGAACCCTCACACTTGGGCCTTAGCTGGAGTTCCCTATGGGGCCACGAAGCGTGTGAGGGTTGGTTGTGCCGAAATTAAGCACCGACGCCATGCAAACTCTGGCATCCAGGCCTTAGCTGCAGCTCCCGATGGGGCCACAATGCGTGCGAGGGGTGAGCCTTGAGTTTCCTGTGGAACCGCGAAGTGCGTGCGGGGTGCGGCGCCATGCGAACCCTAGCATGCGGGCCTTAGCTGGTGCTCCCTATGTGGCCACGACACGTGTGAGGGGTGTGCCGAAATGAGGCACCGCCGCCATGCGAACATTGGAATCGGGGCCTTGCCTGGAGCGTGTGAGCGGTACGCCGAAGTGGACATGCGGAGGGCAGAGGCAGGGATTGGAGGAGGGAGGACGGGGAAGGAGGAATAATAAGGAGGAGGAAGACGGAGATTCGAGACGTTGTCTCTTCAAAACGAGGACTAAACACGACAGGATGGTTAGGACAAGTTCCGTTCCTTGTTCGGCGATCCGTATGGTAGCACCACGGATGCAGTAGTATCATATGTCCCTGAAATGAGGACGGATCGCAGCATAAACCCAGTCGAGACGACGGCCCTCGCAGCTTGCATTTCCGAGCCGCCAGGCAGCACTCCCCGTGCACAAGCGCAATGATATGACTCTGGCTGTGTTTTCGTCGCACGCCTCACGGGGGTCAGCGACAACTGGGGTCAATCAAGTTAGGAAACGTCGGCCCAGCTTTTCGAGAGGAGGTTTCTTCATCAGATGTTCGAATGCCTGTTTCTGTCATTGCAGCCGCCCTCTCGCCACCCTTGCCACCGTTGTTTGCCACGGCCGCCCACCGCTCTCTGGCCCTGCGCGCCTGGCTGCTGCTGCCCCCCCAGCTGCTCATCGTCGAACTCTTCGACTTCTGAGCGTCCCTTCTTCATCTCGGCGTTCCCCCACCCTTTTTGCCCCCTGGCCAATCCGCCAGTTGGTGCCCGTTTCTAGCGCATCTCTCTGGAGCGGAGCTCGCCGCCTCGCTGCCGACGAAGCAAGCTTCTGCCACTGCCTGTCCGACCCCCTCGAGTGCCCGAAGTCATTCGCGCTTCGCGCTTCGTTCGCGCTTCGGCTCCGATTCCTCCTCACCCTCTTCTCCCTTTGGGAGGCGACGCGAGAGCGCGAAGTTGTTCGCACTTTGCGGTTCGCGCTCCGACTCCTCCTCACCCTCTTCTCCCTTTGGGAGGCGACGCGAGAGCGCGAGGTTGTTTGCCTTTTGCGCTCCTCGCGCCGCGCGGGGCGCGACGTTGGGAGCCTTGGCCTCTGGCCGACCCGGCTCTTCTGGGAGCTGCGCGGAAGAAGGGCCCGCGGCCGACCCCCGCGCCTGGGGAGAGCCATCTCGCGGCCCGCCCCGGGTTCGCGGCCTGGGCCCCCTCCTCCTCCTCCTCCTCCTCCCTCCACCTCCTCCTCCGCCTCCTCCGCCTCCTCCGCCTCCTCCTCGTCTTCCCTCTCCTCCGCCTCCTCCGTCTCCGACTCCTCCTCCTTCCCCTCCTCCGCCTCCTCCCTCTCCTCCGCCTCTTCCGCCTCCGCCTCCGCGTCCTCCTCCTCCTCCTCCTCCTCCTCCCCCCCCGCCGACGTGGACCAGCGCGGACCGGGGCCAGCGCGTCACTCCGGTCGGCGGCGAGGGTCTGGGGCGGCAAGGAGGGGGGTGATGACGGGGGGGGGGGGGGATATCATGGCGCGGGCCGTGATCTTCCCCAGGATCCATGGCGCCTCGTCTTCTTTCATTACGTCCCCGGCCCCACCTCGGGCTGCGCACATGCCCCCGGCCATGATTTGCATCCCCCCCTCTTGGACGCCCCCCTCGTGGCCGCTCTCGACAGTGAGGTTTTCTGGGCCTTCTCCGAAGACGCAGAAACGTCTCAGAAGGCGCGCGGGCTTCCGAGAAGTCCCGCCGCCTTTGGGAAGGCCTTCTCGTTCGCATTTCCTCCCCTCGCTCGCCGCCAATCTAGGCCTCCTAGATGGGGTCGGAGCAGATGGCGTCGGAGGATTGCGCCGCATCGCCGATGCATCGGCGATGCGGCTCGATGCGGAGCCCGATTTTCTCCACCCCGACGTCACCGATGCGTCGCCGTCGTCGGCGATGCAGCGCCGATGCGTCGCCCTCGCATCGTCGATGCCTCGCCGATGCGGCGCGATCCTCCGCCCCCGTCTGCTCGGACCCCATGCAGGAGGCCTCTGGTCACCGATGCTATTTTGTTCTCCTGGGAAGGGGATGTCACCACATTCCAGACTTTGACATCAGGACCGCCTTGGGCTCGGGAGGGGCTCGGGATCTCGGGGCGTTCCACGGAAGGAGGTGGGGGAGCTCAATCGCGGCCGGAGCTCGCCGCGGGCAGGAAGGCCCCTCCGCTGCCTTGCGCGTCGCGGTTGGCGCGCCGACTGCGGCTCCCTCTCGCTGCTGCCCCTGCGGCTCCCGCCCTGCTGACGTCCACCTCGTTCTCCTCCCGCGGGCCCACCCCTGCAGTGGACGCCTGCCCGCCCGTCATCATCAAGCGCGTCGCCTTCGACATCCGCAAGCTGAACCCGCGGAGTTCCGACATGCACGCCCTGAAGCCGAACGCCTCGGCGAGGCGAGAGCTCGTTCCGTCTTCGGCGTGGTTTCTGGCCGCCCGGTAGACTACTCCAGGTCTCTCAATAAGCGTGGGGGGGGTGGATCGCGTGGGGGGGGGGGGGTAGGAAACCGCTGTCCTTCGGGGGGCGTGGGGAGGTTGGGGAGCGAGAGGGAGTGGGTTCGGGGCGCGTCGGGGGGCGGGCAAGGGGCGTCGGACAGGTAGGCACGGGGGGGTGCTTATCGAAGGATCTGGAGTACTTTGCATCGTCGGACAGCAAACCGCGAGGGGGCGGATACGGATACGGTGGGTTCGTGTCGTGTCGACTGGCGGCGACCCCGCTGCTGGCGTTCAACTTTGCATGCCACTCTACAGGAGGAGTATTCGAGAACACATTGTCTGGGGACGATTTGTCGCTTTTTTGTTTGTTCTTGACGTGCTGTGTTTTGTGCTTTTTGCTATTTTTCTTTTCTCTTCGAGAACCAGCCTGTAGGACATGCCCGACCTAACCCTAGGTCCCCAGATGAGATGGAGTTCGAGCGGATGGGGTCGGAGGATCGCGCCGCACCGCCGATGCATCGGCGATGCAGCTCGATGTGGAGCCACGTCGCCGACGCATCGCCGATGCATCGCCGATGCATCGCCGACGCATCGCCGATGCGGCGCGATCCTCCGACCCCGTCCACTCGGACCTCGTCTACGAGGCCTCTGGAAACGGGTCCTGCGGGAAAGGGGCCCCCAGGTTTTGTTCGCGGCGTTCGGGCTCTTGGGGCCTGCCACGGGCCCCGGGATGGTCAGGAGAGCGGCTCCGGATGAAGCACGCACTCGTCCGGGGCGAAGGCCCCATGGGGTCCAGGACCCACCTTCCCGCAGGACCCGCTGCCCCCACGCCGGCGCGAGGGAGGCCGTGCGTGTGCGAGGGTCGATGGACGATGTGCGCGTACTCCAGATTTCGTAATAAAGGGAGGGGGGTCTCATTTCGGGGGGGGTCTCTTCCAGGCTATCTTGGAGGGCCTGGGGGGTCTGGGGACGATGTTTTGGAGGGTTCTCCCACGGGGGAGGTCTGAAATGGCTTGTCTTGGAGGGTCCAGACCCCCTCCCTTTCGTTACGAAATCTGGAGTACTCTTGCATCGCAGCTCTTCTTGGCACCCGAGCTGCTGCGGGGATGCACGGTGAGCGGTGCCAGCAAGGTGTGGCGGCGACGCAGAGAGGCGGGGACGGAGGGCGATGGGGGAGGGGCGAAGCAGAGGGAGAACGAGCACGGGTAGGGGGACCAGAGCTGCCCTGCCTCCCCCGCTGGCGCGCACTCGACAGTGCCACGGACTCGATGCGCCATGCTCTTCAGACTGGCCCTGCCGCGGGTCACGACGGGGGTGCGGGTTTCGGCGTCGATGCTCCGTTCTGGCTCGCTCGTGCCAGCGGCAAGCGACGCCTGCTGCCGTGTTCCGCCCACGCGCCGGACGGCGTTTGGCTTCTCTGCCCCTGTCTGATCGAGTGCCGCAGGGAATTGAAGTCGGCTGGGGAACGGAGGTGGCCCGGCACTGGTTTTGGCCCGTAGGAAGCGGGGGGCGAGGTTCGAGGTTCTGGTCCGAGAAGGTAATTGCTCTCTTCGGTGTCGTCGGGGTCCGTGTCCGGGGCCCAGGGGCGTCAGAAACGGATCCGGGGTGTCGGGAGGGGTCCAGGGGCCGATTTTGAACAGTTTGGCTTTTACCTCCCCCTGTCTTGGACAGATTTTCTCAGGCCCATCCAGCTCAGACCCCTCTCCCTAGCGCGCAGAGCGCGCTAGGGGCGGCGCCAGAGGCGCCGCCGGGAGGGCCCAGCGCAGATCCAAGAAATCCGCGCGGATCGCAAATAGTTTGTTTATAGCGCTGCTTTTCATCTAATCCCCATCCTCATCCCCATCCGTATCATTTAACCTATCCCCATCCCCATCGGGCCATGCATGGCATTTCGGCCCGCCCTCACAGCGCCACAGTTGTGGATAGGCCGCTCGAAACCCGACATGGCAAAGCCTGTATCCCCATCTATGGGCGGTTGCTACAGGGGGCCTCTGTCACACCAGCAGGGGAGGAGGAGAAGGAGGTGGAGGAGGATGAGGAGGAGGAGGCGGAGGAGGAGGAGAAGTAGGAGGAGGAGGAGGAGGAGGAGGAGGAGAGGAGGAGGAGGAGGACGAGACGAGGACGATGAGGAGGAGGAGGAGGAGGAGGAGGAGGAGGAGGAGGAGGAGGAGAAGGGGGGGAGGAGGAGGAGGAGGATCAAGAAGCGGAGCAGGAACAGGAGCAGGAACAGCAGCAGGAGGAAGGAGGACGAGGAGTGAGGAGGAGGAGGTGGTAGGACCAGGAGCAGGAGAGAGGAGGAGGGGAGGACGGAGGCGAGGCGGAGGAGGAGGAGGAGGAGGAGGAGGAGGACGGGGAGGAGGAGGAGGAGGAGGAGGAGGAGGAGGAGGAGGAGGAGGAGGAGGAGGAGGAGGAGGTTGGAGGCGGAGGCGGAGAAGGAGGAGGAGGAGGAGGTGGGGAGGAGGAGGAGGGAGGAGAAGGATAAGGAAGGTACTAGAGCCGGAGGAGGGAGAGGAGAGGGAGGAGGCAGGGGAGGAGGAAGGAGTAGGAGGAGGAGGAGGGGGAAGAGGAGGAGGAGGAGGAGGAGGAGGAGGAGGAGGAGGAGCTGGAGGAGGACGAGGAGGAGGAGGAGGAGGAGGAGGAAGAGGAGGAGGAGCGGGAGGAGCGGGACGAGCGGGAGGAGGGGGATGATGATGATGATGATGATGATGATGATGATGATGATGATGATGATGATGATGATGATGATGATGATGATGATGATGATGCTTGTGATGATGATGATGTTGATGATGATGATGCTGATGATGCTGATGATGATGATGCTGCTGC